ACAGAGTGAGACTCTGTTGAGAGAAAGTGAGGAGGGAATGGGGAACAAGATGGCTTAGTGGGTAAAGCTGCTTTCCATGAGGCCTACGACCTGAGTTCTAACCCAAGGATCCAAAAGTGGAAGGAGAGAACATCCACAGATAATACAAATTAAAATGTAATTTAAAAAAAAGAGTAAGTTATGAAATAATAGGTATTGTTTATGAAACTAAAAGAGGAGGATGTTTATGTGTGAGTACTGGGATGTTCACAGGATGGATGCCACTCTGCGAGGGGAGGAGAATTTACAGTTAGAAACAGAGGTATGGGTTTTTAAAGACTTACCTTTTTAAGTTATGCTTACATATTAGACATATTAGCCAGTATGTGGGCATACGCATGAGTGCAGCTGCCTGAGGACACAACCCAGAGGCACCAGACCCTCCTGGAACTGGGTTACAAGCTATGAACCACTTGATTAATGTCGATGCTGGGATCAACCCTTGGGTATTCTGAAAGAGCCCCACATAGTCCTAATGTTGAGTCTTTTCTCCAGCCTGAGATGTAGGGTTGTTTTTGCTTTGTTTTGTTTGTTTAAGGCAAGGTCTAACTATGTAGCCCCAACATGCCTGAAATTCGTTATACAGAGCAGACTGGTGTAGAGCTCACAGAGATCCATCTACCTCTGTTTCCAAAGTGCTGAGGTTAAAGGCGTGTACCATCTCACCTGGTTCTGAGGTGGTTTTTCCTGTTGTTTTGTTTCTTAAATATGCATTCAGGGAGATGGTTCAATGATTAAGAGCACTTGCTCTTTTTGTTTGTTTGTTTGTTTTGTTTTTTGCTTTTAGAGATGTTTCTCTGTGGCTTTGGAGGCTGTCCTGGAACAGCTCTTGTAGACCAAGCTGGTCTCAAACTCACAGAGGTCCGCCTGCCTCTGTCTGCCTCCCGAGTGCTGGGATTAAAGGCGTGTGCCAACAACGCCTGGCAAGAGCACTTGTCCTTGCAGAGGGCCCATTTGGTTTCCTGTTCACAATCATGCATAACTCCCATAACTCCAGGTCTAGGGAATTTGGTGCCCTCTTCTGATCTCCATAGGCATCAGACACACACACAGTGCCCAGACACACATGCAGACAAAACATTTGTAACACACCAAATGAAAATATTCTGATAATATTTATTATTCTGTTTGTGGGTGTGAGTGCAGGTGTTAAGTGTAGAAGTCAGAATAAACACCAGTTGATTCACTCCTGCCATCTTGTGGGACACAGGGACCAAACTCAGGTGGTCAGGCCTGCTGGCAAGATGGTACCTTCCAGAGTTATCTCTGGAAGACAGGGTTTCTCTGTGTAACAAACAGTCCTGGATGTCCTGGAACTCCATCTGTAGACCAGGTTAGCCTTAAATTCACAGAGATCCACCTGCCTCTGCTTCCTGAGTTCTGGGATTAAAGGAGTGTGCCACCAATGCTCCAAATCCTAGATGGACTCTTTATTATATAATCATCTTTTGTCATTCATGAGCACTCCAGGAGTGACAAGTGTGTAGATGGTCAAGTCCCTTGTATGTATAACCTACATATCTACTATACAGTGAATTGCATCTGGTTATTTATAGTACACGTTACAAATGTGTTGTATAGGGAATGATGACAAGAAGAAAAAAAAACAAGTCTGGGGATGGCAAGATGCTCCATGGGTGAAGGTGCTTAGTGACAAGTGTGAAGACTTGAGTTTGACCTCTCGGACCCACATCTGAAAGAAGAGAACTGATTCTTGCAGGTTGCCCTGTGACCTCACAAGCACACTATGGCATGAACACATGCACAAGAAGTCTTCCATACACACAAATAAATATAATGAAAAATACCAAAGCCTGTGGTCAGGGTTACTATATGAGAAGGATAAATAAAACTTAAACACCATTAGGGAAAATTTTGTACATGTTCAATACAAGTATCATTTTTTTCCAAATATTTTCAGCATACCATTAGGTGAATCCACAGGCTTTGACCTCAGAATATGGAGAGCCAACTTTATACTCTTTTGTATTTTGAATGGTTTTGTTTTATGGAGCTTATTTTGTTGATGCTTGGTATTTAAAGTGTGTTACTGTGTACGTGTGTACACACATACTCCAGCATGTGGTGGAGGCCAGAGCTCAGGTCCTCAGACTTGCACAGTGCTCATACCATCTAAGCTGTCTCATGGCCCACCTCAGTCCCTTTGTTTTTAGCTTTTGTTTTGTTTTTGTCTGTTTTAGGGGTTTCTTGTTTTGTTTTTCTGATTGTTTTTTTGGTTTTCGAGACAGGGTTTCTCTGTATTATTTTGGAGGTTGCCCTGGAACTGGCTCTGTAGACCAGGCTGGCCTCGAACTCAGAGATCCACCTGCCTCTGCCTCCCCAGTGCTGGCATTAAAGGTGCATGCCACCACCACCCAACTGTTTTTTGGCTTTTTGAGACAGTGTCTCATTATGTAGTCCTGGCTTGTAGCTAGCCTGAAATGTATTATTGTAGACCAGGCTAACCTCAAATTTGTGGTGATCTTTGTGTCTCTACCTCCCAAGTGATTTGAATGATCACATCCAACTTTTGGAGATTTTTTGTTTTTGTTTTTTGAGACAAATTATTACTATGTAGCCCAGACTGGCCTCTAACTCACAAAGATCCTTACACTGCACGCTTTTGAGTTCTGGGATTCCAGGCATGAACTACTGCATCAGTAGGCTTTCTTCCATTAAATTATCCATCTGTCTGTCTATTGCTTTATCTATTTAGACAGATCTCACTATATGGACCTAACAGGTATAGAACTCACTGTGTAGACCAGGAATTTACTGTGTAAACACACAGAGACCACCTGCCTTTTCCTCCTGAGCACTGGGATTAAAAGTGTGCATTACCATACCAAGATTACATTTTATTTACTTATTTTTTATTGTGAGGGTGGAGGGGGCTATGTATGTGTGTGGGAGCCAGAGAATAACTAGTGGGAATTAATTTCACTGAGTTTTCTCCCTCACTGTATAGGTCCTGGGAACTGAACTTAGGTCATCAGGCTCAGTAGCAGGGGTATTTACTCAATCTCTCTCTCTCTCCTCTCTCTCTCTCTCTCTCTCTCTCTCTCTCTCTCTCTCTCTCTCTCTCTCTCTCTCTCACACACACACACACACACACACACACACACACACTTTTTTAAGTGCAAAATAGAGAACTAGTCAGGATATGTCTAGAACCAGGTGTGGTGGTTCAGCATTCAGAATGCTGAGATGAACAAATCAGTATGAATTTCAAGCCAGCCTAGGCTACATGGTGAGTTCCAAACCACCTTGAACTAAAGAAAAACTTTGCTTTAAGCAAAGACAGAGAGAAGACTTGGGATATAGATCAATGGTAGGGCACTGGTATGTGTGAGATCATGAGTTCAAGCCCAATACCTCAGCAGGAGCGAGCAAATAAATTATAGTTAATAAAGCCGCCCGTGTGAATAAGCCTGGGAGTGCACCAGGGTGGCGAGCAGCACCATCCTTAGCATCTGACTTTCAGGGTACAAATTAGCGTTGTAAACTCCTGGCTTTACACCCTTAGGCAAATCAGTTAGCCATCCCGAACCTTAAATTTACCAACTATAAAATAAAATACTGGTGAGGCATGACAGCACATACCTGTAACCCCAGCATTTAAAAGGTTGAGGCAGGCAGCGGTGACAGGAGCACGCCTTTAGTCCCAGCACTCCAGCACTAGGAAGGCATAGGCAGGTGAATCTCTGCGAGTTCCAGGCCAGCCTGGTCTATCTAAGGAGCGTAACAAGTTCAAGGACAGATTTTGATACATAGTAAAACTGTCCAACAAATAAACATGGATGGGGAGCAGTTAATAGTATTCATTTGCAAGGCTGTGTGTGAGTTGTATTACAAAATCTTAATACCTAGCACAGTTAGTGCTCAGTTAAAGCTGCCTGGTCCCTAGTTACTGCTAGTTACTTAAGGGGAAGAAGGAAAGGGAAGATGGGATGACCAAGAAAATGAACTGAATTGCAGTGGGAAGAGGAGCCAGCCGCTGGAGGGGCTGGGAAGCTGAGTCTGTCGTGGAGAGGTGGAGAGGGCAGGAGAGGATGTCAGGCTGCATGACAGTTCAGATTCTGCAGAGGAAGAGGACTGCAGAAAAGCTGCACACGCGCCTTCGGAAGGACTGTGCAGCAGCTAAGTCCGTGGCTTTGGAGTCAGGCTGCCCAGGTTTAAATTCAAATCCCAGTTCAGCCACTTACTAGCTTATGACCTTGGGCAAATTATCTAACCTCTCTAAACCTCAGTTCCTTCATCTACAAAGTAACGATAATAACAGTACTTGCTTCAAATCGCGGTTGTGACGATTACATTAGCTAATCCAAGCAAAGAGCCCAGTGCAGAGCTGGCACATTCCAAGGGCTCAGCCGACAGTAGGTGGTGGTGGTGGAATTATGGCGGCCTCTCTCTGTGAGTGGATTAGCACCTCTCTCTCTCTCCTACGTGGGTAGTTCTGCCCCTCAGACACTTTTGTTGTCTTCCCTCATTCTCCCCCTGCTCAGACCACTATTTGCCTTTGCTCTTGGATATCCGTCACTGTCACCCAAAGTCAGTCCTTCTCAAACCAATACCCAGCTTCACTTATCTCCCTGGTCGCTGCTCTGGGTGAGATGGGAGCTCTGAGACCCAGAGACAGAGGCCTTCTCCATGGAAAATGAGGTGTACTGGCAGTGAGGATTCTTTGGCCTTCTCGGTGCTGTCGCACTTGGCCACCAGAGGGCAGCAAGAGCACGAAGCGTAGCTCCGGGAACCTGGTGCTAGGGCAGGTGGAGAACTCAGAAGAGGAGGTGGGAAGAGGTTAAGGGGCGACGTCCACACTCTGAGGTCGCTTCTGCTCAGGCAGCCCCCCGGCTCCACCAACCAGAGAAGTCGCTGAGAATCTTGGGTACCCGGGCTTGGTTTCCCACCCATGTGAGCTAAGTGACTTGTTAAAGGCGGGGTCACAGGGACTGTGCGCCGAGAAAGCTGGGAAAGGGTTGTTTAGGAAAAGCTGTCAGCTGAGGAGAACGGAGCAGGGCGGAAGGGGTGAAAGAAAGGACAGATAGATGTCTGAACTAGACAAACACGGTCATGCCCAGGACAGGGACGGTCACTGGACCCAGGAAGGAACCCAAGTGCTGGTAGCCGAGGTCATCAGGTCAATGCCCCTGTCGCTTGGCCGAGAGGCCCCGAGCCAGAACTAGGCCTTTCCTGGTAGCAGTGTCTGGTCGCGGTCCCCAGCTTTCTCCGCGGGAGCCCCCCCTGGCCTTCCTCTCCTGTGCCCTGTCCCCGCCCCCGGTCCCGGCCCGCCCTCGGCCCCGCCTCCGGGGCGGGCTCCGGACCGACCGGCGCCGCCTCCCCTCCTCTCAACCAGCGGGGCCTCACAGCCCCGAGCCGCCCGGGCAACGAGCGCCGCGTCCCCGGCCCGCCCGGCCGGCCAGGCTCGGCCCCCGCCTGGGTCTGCCACCCCGGGCCATGGAGCCGCGGCCGCCAGGGCCCCGCAGGGTAAGCCACCCGGTCCCTCCCTCCCTCCCCGCCTCCGCGGCTGCCGCAGCGCCCCCCCACCCCATCCCCGCCCGCCCTGCGGGGCCGGCCACCTCTTCTCTCGCCCAGTCCTCGGCCGTCGCCCATCCCCCACGCGGCGCGGCCCTCACCGATCTCTGGAGCCCAACTGGCGCCCCCCCGACTACTGCCACCTTGCTGGACACGCTAGCCTCTGCTTCCCAGGTCCTCAGAATCCCCCAAATCTCCGACTTGCCATCGGTCCTACACCCACCCTCACATCACTACGCTGCCCGGCCTCTCTGCTCCAGCCTTGCCCTCTCCCAGGAGCCCTTCCCCACCTGCTCTTTGGACACCCTCGCCCCCCCTCTTTCCCGAGTCAGTCCCGTCTGCTCAGGTCTTCCCACCCCTGCCATTCTGCCCATTTCCCATTTCCTTGTCGCCTGATTTTGAGGGGTGGGTGGGGTAGTGGCTGGTTGAACCTCGGGTAGTGGGTTCTATCCGATAAAGAACAGGGAGAGGAAACCTAATCATAGCGGGCCCCCTCCTGCTCCTGATCTGGTTTCGCTCCTCCTTGCCCTTCCCTCCTTGCCTGATTTCGGTTTTTGCCCCAGCTTCAGGGAGCCATTCCCCTTCACCACTGTTGGAGGGCAGGTGGGAGAGGACTGCTTTAGAGAGTTTAACTGCCTGGCTGTGTCTAGGCCAGCATCCCAGGAAGGGTCTCTAGGATGGAACGGGCCTTTGGGAGACGCTGGCCTCCACCCTTCCCTAGGGAGCCTTCATCTAGGTCACCGGGGCCTCCTGACCTTGGTCTAGAGGAGGACCTCAGTGGCTCACATTCCACTGGGGATTGGGTGAGCCCTCACCTTCAGCCAGCAGTCTCCTCAGTCCCTAGAAGAGAGGGTGGGGCAGGCTGGCCAGCTTGATTCCTCCCCCTTCCCAAGCTTCTCACCCCTCAAGAGGGACCTGGCTGGAACCTAGACCACTAGGGGATGGAGACTGGGAGAGTCAGTCCAACACACTCAATCCTTGGGATCCTGGGCACTCAGACCTTCCTGGGAACTGGCTGGGGGGGTCTTGCCTCTCCATCCTGTTCTCTCCATACTGTTTTCATACGACTTAGGTTTCCTGGCCCAGATTAGGTTTCTGTTTGGGCAGAATTCCCATTCCCCACCCAGCATGTGAGGAAGCCCGGGGCTCATGAGAAGCCGGGGCAAAGTTGGGTGGGGGTGTCTCTGAAGAGGAAGGGCAGAGGCGTGGAGACTAGAAGCTGAGAGCAGCAATCTGTCTCCCCTCGGATTAAAGCCTGCCTCCAACTTGGTCTGTCTTTCTTTCTGCCAAACATATCACACATTTGTACAGATAAACACACAGCTGAAGATTACACAACCTGACTATCCACAGTGTCAGCAAAGCCCCCAATGCATAAATGTTGATCTTCAAGTGATACACACAGTAAATGCCACTCACTCACACTCCACCCATGCACAAACTGGTCACAGCCTGTCTAGGGCCCATGCATGTACACACACTCTTCTGCTCTTTGACTTTCCCCTGCATGTGACCGGGGCTTTCGAGAAGTTTGTGGAAGGTGAAGATAGCCACTAAGAGGGGTTGCTTATGGTCAGGAGCAGGCCACGAGAGCGACAGTTATCAGACTGGTTATCTGGAGTGGCGGCTCACTCAATTATGGTTCCAGCATCCCATTATTACCAAAGTGGGACAGACATAGGTCAGCACTCAGGTCACTGGGACTCTGAAGCCCCCTTCCTGATAGTAACTCCAAGCCCCTGAAGAGACTCCTGGGGTGGGGGGGGGGAGAGAAGAGAGAAGATTCCTATTCTATCCCTCATATTGTCTCGTGGAAAACCCTAAAACCTGAACACAGAAAGAGACTCGTGAGTTGATAAGGACCTCTGTGTCACCAGCAACTATGTCTTAATGTCCGCCCCTTGGAAAATAGGGTTCCGGTCCTAAATCGTTGTGAGAGGTCCCAGCTATTCCTAGTGCTTCAGCCCTGGCTGCATTCCTATCTCTTCCCTCCTTGGCCACAAGGGTGAAGGGGAGGAGTGCTGGGAGAGGTTGCTCTGTGCTTCTGGGCCCCTAGCTGTATCCCTTGATAGCAGAAGGTGTCAGGGAAGCTCGTGTCCTCCCCCAGAAACACACCTCGTGTGAACTCTTGACCGGAGACTGCAAAGACTTCTGCTGACCCAGGGTGAGCAGAGAGGGTTCCCAATACCTCCAAGCCACCAGCTCTTCTCTGAAGTTCTGCTGATGCTGGTAGGGAGACAAGACCCTGAAGGTCCTGGGCACACTCGGACCAGAGCTAGTCCCACTCTCTTCTTCCCTGTTCTCCAGTGGAACCGCCAATTCTCTCCCAAGTTCTTGTATGCCTGTTAGAAGCTGCTGACTTAAAGAGATTCAGAACCTCCAGGTAATGGTGGTGGTGTCATCACACGCCTTTCATCCCAGCACTCGGGAGGCAGAGGCAGACGGATCTCTGTGCGTTGGAGGTCAGCTTGGTCTACAGAGCAAACTTCAGGATAGCCAGGGCTACAGAAACCCTATCTCAAAAACAAACAAACAAACAAAAAAGGTGTTGGGAGATATCCAAAACCTAAGTGTGTTAGGGTACAGTGGGATCCAGAGACAGGAAGCCGGAAACATCTGTCTCCTGGGACCAAAAGCTGAACTTGGCAGACAGTTGTACCCCAGAGTCCCAGAACCTCTGATGTGGCTATTGACAGTAGGAGACAGGCCAAGGTAACAGAGTTGAACCCTCATGGTATGTTGAACCAGAGTAAGAGTCCAGGTCCAACTTCTGCTGTTAATTCATGGTGTGGTCTTACACAGACCACTTCTATTTCCTGTGAAATGGGAGCAATGGGAACTGTAGGGCCAGTGGGTCCTTCAGTTCCTGCCAGGACTGTGAGGATTGGTCTGGAGAGAAAGCTGAGGCTCAAAGCCCTTAAGCATGTTGAAACCTGAGGCGGAGGGCCTAAGGACCTTGGCTCATCTCAGCTCAGCTGATGTGGGGAAGTGGGGGTGGCAGTTTGTGCAGGTTCCTAGCTCACTCTACCCAACATCCACAGATGGACCCTGTGCAGAAGGCTGTGCTCTCACACACATTTGGAGGACCCTTGCTCAAGACCAAGCGTCCAGTCATTTCCTGTAATGTCTGTCAAATCCGATTCAATTCTCAGGTAAGAAGACCAGCCGCTACCTGCTGGTGAGCAGGGTGGGGCAGCCGTGGGAGCTCGAGGGAGGGCCAGTGACTGCTGCTGGGAAAGAACGAAGAGTGGGAACCCTGTGGTGGGGCAGGAGTTAGTGGAAGACCCTTGAGACGAGACAAGTGGGCGCTATGTTTTGGTTGCTTTTTGTGTGTGTGGTGGTAGAGATTTAGGGCCTTGCACACAGCAGGCAAATGCTATACCTCTGGGCTGTGTCCTCAACCCTTTTTCTTTTCTTTTTTTCTTTTTTGGATATGGTTCCTTTATGCAATTTTTTTTTTGAGACAGGGTTTCTCTTTATTGTTTTGGAAGCTGTCCTGGAACTCGCTCTGTAGACCAGGCTGGCCTCGAACTCACAGAGATCTGCCTGCCTCTGCCTCCCAAGGACTGGGAGTGTCACCACTGCCCAACTTTTTTTTTTTTTTGAGTCTCTCTACATAGCCCTGGAACTCACTAGCATGTGCCACCACACCCAGACCAGCTACTGGCTCCTTTTTATATTTTTTTTTTATTTTGAAACATGGCCTTAGAAGTTTCCCAGGCTGGCCTGTAGCTTACTCTGGCCTGGAAAGGCCTTGGTTATGGTTACAAACCTGTGCCACCAGACTTGGTTATGGCTGTGTATTCTGGCAAAAATTAGACAAATCCTCTGAGGCTGGCTGGCCCCTTTGTCCCTTGGGGCTGGAGCATTCCCTACTCAGAATGTCTGGAAAGACATGTTCAGGGAAGGTGTGTGAATCTAGCCTTCCATCCTAAGGTGCTGAGTTTGGTCTCTCTGGCTCTCCACAGAGCCTCCAGCCTCCACACACCTCTTTCTTCACCCCCTCCCCAACCTCCCTCCCAATCACATTGAAACTGGTCTATACACCCTCCTGGGACTTTACCCATGAGGAGACCCCTCAGATCCCCTCCCTCTAAAGCCTCATCGGAACTTCTATTGAGGTCCAGACTTTGTAGGGTGCAGGCCCTAAAAACTTTGGAAGAAAAACAGCAGAGCCTTATTCTGCTGAGTAGGGGAAAAGAAAACATATGTGTCTCCATGCAGCACGTGCACACACATGCACAGGCTGGTACATACTGCTGGGCCCTATACACCAAGGCTCTACTATCAGTTTTGTTTTCCTGCCCATCCACACCTTTATTTCTACCCCTGTTTAGGTGACCTTTTGAGTCCAAGAGTATACATTCTTAGCTGTGGCGCAAATGGGAGAGGAAGCTATGGACAGGCAGTGATTGGATGGAGCCAGAAGCAAACTAGAATCAGGCCTCATTGCTCCAACTCCAGGCATCCTCTCCTCCAACCCTGACTCCACTTGCTGGTGGAGGAAACAAGATTGGAGGGATAGACAGCCAATAATAGGCAGCTCTCTTTTTTTTTCACTCCCCTCTTTACCTCCCCCATAAAGTGTCTCTGTTTTGACAGCTGTTTCTGCTGCTGTCTCCTGTCTCCAGAGCTGGGCTTGAGTCCAGGGTCCTCCGAGGTGTCCACGGAGGCTCCAGGAAAAATGAGGCCTAGGAGGAGTATCAGGACAGGGCTAGTGAAAACAGCAGAGCAGGGTCCTGGACAGAAGAACTCAGGCTCTTAGGCCTGGTGTCTGAGATGCCAATTAGTTCTTCCTCTCCCAATTCAGCATTCTCTTGAAGACTTGAGAATCCCCTCCCTCTACTCAGGACTAGTCATTAGCCAAGTCCTGGGTGTGGTGATGGAGTGTAGTCTGGACTAGGTCAGGATCCAGATTCCCAGGGATTCAAGCTTGAAAAGCTCATCACAGCAATAACCAGACGTGTCAGCATGGGCTCTACACAACAGGGCCATAGGCAGAGTATACTACAGCCTGCTGAGTCCGCCCTGCTTGAGACCTGGAGGAGCTCTGTAGGATGTAGATGAAAGGTGATCTCAGACTCTGTTCTTCCTCCATCCTCGAAGAGCCAGGCAGAGGCACACTACAAGGGTAATCGCCATGCCCGAAGAGTCAAAGGCATCGAAGCTGCCAAGACCCGAGGCAGGGAGCCTAGTGTCCGGGAATCAGCAGACCCAGCTCCAGCAGGCAGCACCCCCCCAAGTGGGGATGGAGCAGCCCCTCGTCCAGGTGTGTCTAAATCCCCTTCACACTTGTCAACTGATCTCTGTCTTTCTGCTCTTTCCCAATTCCCAGAACTTCCTATCTGCTCCTCTCCCCGCTCAATCCCCACCCCACTGACACCCAAGGTGAGTCCTGGAGCCAGACATAGTGATGTCAAAATTCCATCCTGTCACCCCACCCACCCCTGCCTCAGCTCTTTTCAACAGAGTCCCTACTGTCTGTCCTCTCCACTGCCCAGTGACTCAGCGAGGGGCTAGGGTGAGGCCGCCTGGCAAGCCTCCCCAGGAACAGGGAGGCATCCATTTGATCCAGATGAAGCCCCTCTGTGCTAGCCAAAGGCAATAGGGACATCAGAACCCCACCAGCTTCCCATGTGCCACAAGACTCCCTAAATGGTCTTGGGTGGACGTGTGGACTTCTTGGAGCCAAGTTAAGAAAGAAAAACTTGAAAATCTTTAGGGTCTTTTTCAGCTACCAAGAGCAAGTCCACATTTTCTTTGCCACTCTTTGCTGGTGGCCGTCCTCAACCATACTCCGAGGAACTGGGACTGAGGGACTACAGGGACAGAAAGATATCAGCCACCCCCACCCTGGGGTTACCACAGATATCAGTCATGGCCAACTCCAGAGAGACCTAACATTCCCCTTGTCCTCATTTCCTCTTATTCTGGCCTGTCCTCCTTGCCCCACCCTAAAAATAATGAGAAACAGACTCTATAGCACCAGTTTAGGATTCAGGTCTCCACTGTGGGAACACACACACACACACACACACACACACACACCTCTGGCATTCAAAGATGTAAGGGCCGGGCCTGATTTCTAATTGTGCTCTGGCTGCTTCTGAGTCTGATCATGTCAGTTTAGTGTATTAACACCTCTATAAAGTAAGGGTGGGTAGAGCTGGTGATGGTGGCAGTTAACATTTCTTGACACACATCACCTCATTTAGTCCCCGTACACTTTCTGAGGACATGGGGCAGACATTGTACACACACTGCTTTTATAAACCACGACGTCCAGTTTGGGATGAGGATGTGCTGTCTGGTTTGGAATGAAGATGGAGGATGTCATGAATTGAGTAGGAGACACAAAGGATGGATCCTAGGACGGACAAGCACACACCTACAGGGTTAGGAATTCTTCCACCTTCTCCTACTCCCACCCCAACCCTCCCCTTGACCCGGAAACTGGATCAGCTGTTGGAGCAAGAGTGGGAGCACTAGAGTTTCCCTGCAGAAGCAAGAACCCAGTGCAGAGGCCTGGGCTGTGCATCTTTAATGGCACCATGAATTATAGAGCAGCCTGGATCCCTGCTTCCTCCTCTTCAGCTCTTGTTTCTGTTTCCCTCCGCTATGCTCACATCTGTCTCTCCCGACTTTCCCTACACCATCCTGTTGTTCCTCAGTGTCCTCTTTGAGGGCCAGGAGGGCTTTGTGAAGGGGTTGTCCTGCCAGGAAGCCCAGACTGGTCAGCAGGCCATAGTGGGATGAATTCTTGGTTTCTGCCTTTCCCCCTGGCTAGGCAGGCTGCCAGGCTTACCCTAAAGGTAGCCTGGTTACTCCTTGGCTATCCTCAGCTTTGGGGGAGTAAGCCAAGCATTGCAGTCACACACCCAGCCGGTGGCAGCTGAAGGGAATTTGGCTGTGGCCCAGGGCATGAGAACATGCATGTTGTAACAGGGCGGGGACCGGCTCCTGGCCCCTTACCCTTGAGGAAGTGGGGGTGGGTCTGCACATGAAGAGCCACTTGGGATGACCCCATGTTTCTTCCCTAACAGTTTCCATGGAGAATGGCCTGGGTCCAGCTCCAGGATCCCCAGAGAAACAGCCTGGCTCCCCATCCCCTCCCAGTGTCCCAGAGTCTGGACAGGGTGTACCCAAGGGTGAAGGGGGAACTCCAGCCCCGGCTTCCCTGCCTGGGGGTAGCAAGGAAGAGGAGGAGAAGGCTAAGCGTCTGCTCTACTGTGCACTGTGCAAGGTGGCTGTGAACTCCCTGTCCCAGCTTGAGGCACACAACAAAGGTATGGGTCCTCTGCTACCAACCAGCCCCCTGTCCTCAGGCCCCTCCCACCCCTCTCTGCAATCATCCTGCCTCCCTGCCTTCCAGTGCAGCTGTCCTCCAAGACCCACCAGCCTGTCTCCTTTCTCAGCCATCTCCTCTGCTCCTTTGTCTCTTACTTCTTCATTTACCTTCACCTTCCCCCAGACCCCTTTGTTATTGGGGGGCCCAAAGAGCTCCAAATAAATCCATAGTTATCATTCACACATTATAACTGGGAAGGTGGGCATTTGAGGCCTATTAGGCCTGGAGAATTTTTCATCTGTGCTCATCTCCTGCCTCCGTGGGCCAGGTACTAAGCACAAGACAATTTTGGAGGCCCGAAGCGGGCTGGGGCCCATCAAAGCTTATCCTCGGCTGGGGCCTCCCACTCCTGGGGAACCAGAGGCTCCTTCCCAGGACCGAACCTTCCACTGTGAGATTTGCAACGTCAAGGTCAATTCGGAGGTCCAGCTGAAACAGGTGAGTCCTACACCCATCCAGGGTGTCTGAGGAAACTGACCCTTTGAAGGGAAGGGAGCTTAGGCAAGGGCCAGCAAAAGGAAGTGTGGGTAGGTGTTTAACTGTGGCCCTGCCACAGGTTAGTTTTTGCTAAAAGCTCACAGCCCTACTACCCACTGCACTGCAGCACATCTCCAGTAGGAGGCACCGAGATGGCGTGGCCGGGAAGCCCAACCCTCTACTGAGCCGTCACAAGAAGCCTAGGGGCGCCGCGGAGCTGGCGGTGAGGCCTGGATACTGGGGAATTGGGCTATGGGAGGACCAAGGAGAGTTGGAAAGGGATCTGGACAAGCCGCCAGAGGTTGGACTTGCCGGACTACTGGCCCAACCTCTGTGTCGTCCCCCCCCCCTCTCTGCCTGCTGCAGGGCACACTGACTTTCTCCAAGGAGCTGCCCAAGTCCCTGGCAGGTGGCCTGCTCCCCAGCCCCCTGGCGGTGGCTGCGGTGATGGCCGCTGCAGCAGGCTCCCCGCTGTCCCTGCGCCCAGCTCCAGCCGCACCTCTTCTGCAGGGACCACCGATCACACATCCTCTACTCCACCCGGCCCCAGGACCCATCCGAACTGCGCACGGACCCATCCTCTTCTCCCCCTACTGACCTCAACCCTGAACCCCTCCCATTGAATCCCCCACCTCCAGCCGGGACCCAGGCCTCCGGGCTCCCAGCCCCTCCTCCCGGCGCTCCCTGAATGGTCTCTCCTTCCCCCCACCCCGAGGTACGGGGTTCCAGGAAAGGGAAGGGGTAGCGGGGAAGGGGGACTTAAGAAGGGGGGGAACACCCCAGATCTCAGGGAACCCCGCCCCCTGTCCTTCCCTCTCCCCTAGAAAAGAGGGGGGCCGTCTCACCCCCGAGCCCCCTCGGAGACACCCCCTCCCAAAAGCCATGTCCATCCAACCCTTCCCCTCCAAACCTAGCACAAAACGGGGTTCACAAGCCATGGTCGGGGCCCGGGGGGAGAACATGGATTTTCTTGGCAATAAGCGGACTCTGGGACTCCGGCCCCCCTACCCCAAACTAAAGCGCTTCCGTGAACAAACCCGTCCTCCGCAGGGGGAGGGGAGCAGGCGGGATCCTGGGTCCCTCGTAAGCACTTTGGTTTTACCGCCTGCAACCTCACTGTGCCCGCCCCGCACCGCACCATGCCCCAACCCCAGGTCCAGTCGGGCCCATCGCAGGGGGCAGCACTCGGGGGCATCTCAGGCACTTGGGTGGGACCAAGGAGATGCCCTCATAGACCCTTCCCTTGCCTTCTTCCTCCCCGGTCCGGGTTCCATTCTTTTCACCAGCACCCATCGCCCAAGGGGTACCAAGGGGGGCAAGGGGTGTCCAGTCCAAGCCCACCTCCGCCTCGCCTTCCGCAAAACTGTGAGCAAAAAGCAATAGAAGCCTCGCCCCCGCCCCGCCCCGCCCCTTTCCGCAGGATTTGCCGTCTGTAGCCTCCCCATCCCAATCCCTAGACCTCATGGCTGCCCCCTCCCGTGACACCTCCACTGCACAACTCGGGCGGGGGCGTGACCCCCCAACCTGTTCCTTCTGTCGTTTCTGTGTGGTCAGCCCTTCCAGCGCCGACCCGGGATGGGGATCGGCCCCCACTGGCCCTCCCCTCCCCCATGGACTCTTTCTGCTTGACAATGTAGCAACCCCGGCCCTCCACCTTTGCCCTCCCTCTTTCCTCCTTGACAATAAAGTCTGGATTCGTTCTGCCCTCCGCGCCCAAGACTCAAACTGTCTTTGCTTGCTGTTTGGTGCGTAATTCGCTTGGAAGGTGTTTCTTACGGTGAGGAAGCCTGACACCCAAGGAGAGGAGCTGGAAAGCGAGATTGGGAAGAGGGTGCGTAAAGCCAGCAGAGAGACTGGAAGTCTCAGTCCCTACCTAGCTTGTGTAAACTTGGCGAGAGTTCGTCTTGGCGACTGCAGCTGAGGCTGTTGAGAATTCGCTACAATTCCACTAGGCGGCGCTAAAACGAAGAAAAAGGAGTCCGTTCGTTAGTGTTTCTTGCAATTCTAGGGAGAGGGGACTAAACCCAGACAAAGGAATGAACCCAGGCTTTTGTGTCTGTATTGGGAACCCACACCAGCAAAACAAAGAGAGGAAGCAGGCATGAGCCTCATAAACTGACCCTGGTATCCGTCTTCATCCTGTATGAGCCTCAGTTTTCTACCAGCAAACATGCTTGAGTTTTAAGGATCCTTTGAGATCCCGTATCCAAGCCCACCGAGGCTGTGCCGTATACCGATCTGCTACAATACTCTCCCATCAGATGCCAAGTGGCCTGTGTCTTGGTGCCTCGGAGGGTGCCTCTTCAACTGCAAAATCCAGCCCAAACACATAACCTCAAGAACTGGATTCCCTCTCCACCCATTATCTCACGCCATCCAGCGCTACTGGGTGGTGGACAACAAAACAAAAACAAAAAAACAGACTCAAACCCAGAGTCTGCACTGGTCCCCGAATTGGTTGTCGTTCTCACTTCTTTCCCCACTTTCCAATCTTGCAGGAGGGTAGGAAGTTGATTAAAAGAGGAAGGAGAGGGGAATAGGGCCCCCTGGATTTATCAACTGGTGGGGCCCCAGCCCAGCAAATAGTTTTTTTTTTTTTTACTTCACAGTTCAAAAAAAGCAGAGACAGAGATGTCTCACTGGTTAAGAGCACTGGCTATGTTCAATTCTCAGTTCCTACATGGCAACTAAGTAACTCTAGTCCCAGGATACCTGAAGTTCTCTTCTGGGCTCCCTGAGCATCAGCACAGACATACACGCAGACAAAGAGCCCATACACAGAAAGAAAGAAATTAAATTAAAGACAGAGGTGAAAGGTTCTAAAGGATGAGGGCAAAGGTGGTCCTTTAGAGAAAGGAATGGAGGGCTGAGGGGCTCAGTGAGTAAGGGGGCTTGCTACCAACACTAAGGACATCAGTCCTTAATCTCAGGACCCAGCTCACTCAAGTTGTCCACCTGCACTACGACATGTACATTCCTCACTCCCCTGCCATACACACACAAAATAAGTAAATAGCTAAATAAACGAAGAAATAAATTGTAATGAGACATCCACCCTGCCCACACCTATAGCACTGACGACACCCACTTGGGCGTGGTCACAGGTGAGGATGTATTGGAGGGAAGACTAGATCTGGGGGGGTCCCGGACCCCAGAGCTCTTCTCTTGTTTCCGGTTGGGTCACATCAAACCTGGGAGGATCCTTGAAGATGGAAACCGTGACGGTCACCTGCCTCTTGTGTATGTGCATTCTCCCCGAATAAACTTCACTTAACCTGTACTGAGTCTAGTGAATCTTGATTCCCACACAATAATAAATAAATATAAAAAGAAAAAAATTAATGTGTGGAGAACAATGGCTGGGCCTGATGTGGGGAGGATAGCAAGGAGGGACTAGAAAAAATGAGTTGGAGAGGCTGGGAAACTGATATGCCCCAAAGTTGATGTTTCAGAATGGAACATATCATTCACTCCTCTCCCTAAGCTTGTTCCGCTCCCATGTTCCTTATCTTTCCTTTTAGTGCTAGGAACTGAACCCTAGATATTCCATATTTGAGCCACACCCCAGATCTTCTGTCCCATTGATTAGCAGCCCCATCAACCCACTACAAAACAGGGAGTCATCATTTGTTTGTTTTTTGAAACAGAGTCTCACTTCGTTCCCAGCCTGATTGGAAGCCCACTGCTTCTGACTCCTAAGAGCTGGGATTGCAAGCAGGGGTCAACAGCCTGGCATAGCTCAAGCATCTGTGGTTTTATTTCTAGTATGGCTCTATGAGACAGGATTTCCTTATGTAGCCCTGGCTGTCCCGAAACTCACTACATAGACCAGGCTACCCTCAAACTCAAAGATCCACCTGCCTCTGACTCTCAAGTGCTGTGCCTTGGTTAATTTATTTATTTTAAGAAAGAGTGAAAGAGTCTCCTGTGGCATGGGCTAGCCTCAAAATTACTTTGCAGCCGAGGATGACCTTGAATTTCTGATCTTTCCACCTCCTGAGTGCCGGGATTACAGGTGTGTACCAGCATACTGTACATTCTGGGACTTAAACCTTGTACATTCTGGAAAAGCACTCTACCACTGACTTACATCCTTGGCCAAATTTGCTTTTTTGTTTGTTTCTTTTTGTTATTTGTTTGTTTGGTTTTTCCAGACAGGTTTTTTGTGTGTAACATCTGTGGCTTCCTAGAACTTGCTCTGTAAACCAGGCTGGCCTCGAACTCACTGAGATCCACCTGCCTATGGTCCCCAAATCCTGGGATTAAACATATGTGCCACCACAGCCAGCCAATTTTTTTTCTTTTTTTTCTTTCTTTTTTTTTTTTTTTTTTTTTTTTGGTTTTCAAGACAGGGTTTCTCTGTGGCTTTAGAGGCTGTCCTGGAACTAGCTCTTGTAGACCAGGCTGGTCTTGAATTCACATAGATCGGCCTGTCTCTGCCTCTCAAGTGCTGGGACTAAATGTGTGCACCACCACCACCTGGCCAAATTTACTTTTTATTTGGAGATAAATTCTCATTCACTAAAATTACCAAGGCTGACCTAGAACTCACTATGTAGCTCTGGCAAGTCTTAAGAACTGTGATCTTCTTGAGTAACTATCAGCCTGTACCACCAGCCCCTGTTCCCACCTTTAATTCCAGCTCTTTGGAGGCAGAGGCAAGTGGGTATCAGGAGTTCAAAGCTAGCCTGATCTACATAGTGAACTCTAGGTGAGCCAAGGCTTCATAATGAGACCCTGCCTCAAAAAAACTTTTTATTGCATTTATGTGTATGTTTATAGATGCACATGCCTCACAGAACTTGTATGAAAGTTGAAGAACAATTTCTAGAAGTTGATTCTCTATTTCTATCATGTAGGTTCTAAAATACAACTCCAATCATGGCAAGTGCCTTTACAGGCTCAGCCATCTTGCCAGTCCCAAACCCATATCTTTTTATCTGACTCCACTTCTCAGATGTGGTGAAGTGTCATTGGGACCCTCTGATGTAAACCATCTCCAGACTCTGAAGAGAAGAAAGGAAGTGCTATTGCAAAACAAAGCTAAGCTCTGTGGGTTTTAAGCTCATTGGTTCTACCTTTGCTTCTAGAACCTGGCCTTGATTTCTGACCTTCAGAAGTGGCCCAGTCAGGAGTGGTAGCTCATGCCTGTACTCACAGTGCTCAAATGACCGAGGCAGGGGAATTTCTGTGAGTTCTTGGGCAGACTGGGATATTGAGTCAGACTGTCTCAAACAAACAAAAACAGAAGTGGCCTGGAGGATCTGACATTATCTCCCTGGCCAGCAGTTCTCAGCAATGACCTTAGGGAGGTCCTCCCTCACAGAAGGGAAGGAAACATAACTTGGGTTTCAGGAAAGACAAAGGGAAGAGTGAGACAACTCTGGAGTAAGCTGCAGGGGAATTTCAACAGAGAAGCTCGGACTTGAATAGCCAAGATAAAATTAGTGGACTGGCTGGAGGTAGGGGAGGAAGTGGCTAAGGTTGGGTAACTGGGGAGTTTCTTATTCTTTCAGTCTAACATGGTAGGAGGCATTACATGTCCAGCTGGAAGCCTGACTGCTCCCCAGAAAGGCTGGAAGCCTGACTGCTCCAAGGAAGGCCTATTCTTTAGGTGAGCTGGACTTTTTGTTTACTGAAGACAAGTGTGAAAACTGGGAACCTCAGATGAGCATGTCGTGTGTGTGTGTGTGTGTGTGTGTGTGTGTGTGTGTGTGTGTGTGTGTGGTACACAGTCTTACTCTCTTAGTCCTCTCAATTTTTTCCGGGTAGTTACCATTAGAACATTTGGGGTCAGGAGAATAGTGGTACAGGTCTGAGGCCAGAGAATCCCTGTGAGTTAAAGGCTAGCCTGAGCTCCATAACAAGACACTATCAAGGAATGGAGAAAGAAAGAAAGAAAGAAAGAAAGAAAGAAAGAAAGAAAGAAAGAAAGAAAGAAAGAAAGAAAGAAAGATAGCGGCTCTACTGTGTGTGCAGAAGGAGGAGCAGAGGACAAGGGACTCCTGGTTGTCTTCGGGAACTCAGAAGGAATTATGGTGGAGGTTGCCGGGTTTATGGGGAGCACCCACGCATATTGATGAAGGAGCCTGGGGTTTGGGGAACAGAGAAGAGACATTTGATAAGAATTCAGGAAAGAAAATGAAAAATGTGAAAGGAAAGGACAGAAGAGCCTAAGGAACAAGCTGAGAAACTTGAGATGAAATGGTGTGAGTGGCTTTCCAGAAGTGTGAATTAAAGCGAGTTCTAGGAGCAGAACAGGCGTGAGGGGACAAAGCTGTTCAAAGGAGGCGAGATGAAGACCGAGTTCTCACTCCACCTCACTCTTCCTTCCCTTCAGTCTCCATCATGTGGAACACCTCGGATGTCAACTTCTCCTGTTACCATGAGTCCGTGTTAGGCTATCGCTACTTTGCAGTTATCTGGGGCGTGGTAGTGGCTGTGACAGGCACCGTGGGCAATGCGCTCACCCTGCTGGCATTGTTCATCCGTCCTAAGCTCCGAACCCGCTTCAACCTGCTCATTGCCAACCTCACCCTGGCTGATCTACTCTACTGCTCGCTCCTGCAGCCTTTCTCCGTGGACACATACCTCCACCTCCATTGGCGCACGGGCGCCATCTTCTGCAGAATATTTGGGCTCCTGCTCTTTACTTCCAATTCCGTCTCCATTCTCACCCTCTGTCTCATTGCTCTAGGACGTTACCTCCTC